TTTTCCACTTTTTTATTATCAAGAAAGGAAAGATATTAATAAAATTAATATTTTCTGATAATCTTGCCTTCAAAAACGGACATTTAATTTGCACACAGTAATATAGTATTGATTAAATAATTGTTTTATAATTCTTTTGGTGGATCTTGGAGGACTTGAACCTCCAACCACCCGGTTATGAGCCGGGAGCTCTAACCATTGAGCTAAAGATCCTTATATTAATCTTTTTTATTAAATTTATGATATGGATGGTATACTCTTAATCGACAAACCATCAGGAATTACCTCGCATAAAGTCATTGAATTTATTCGAAAGAAATTAAGTATAAAAAAAGTTGGACACGCTGGAACACTGGACCCCTTGGCTACCGGCTTATTGGTGATTATGGTGGATAAAGCCACCAAATTAAGCAACCAATTAATTAGTCAGTTCAAAACTTATGAAGTGGAAATGAAATTATTTCTGGAAACTGACACGGGCGATATAACTGGGAAAATAATTAAAAATGAAAAGTTGCAAAGGTTTACCAAAAAGCAGATTCTAGAGGTCATTAACTCTTTTGATAACTATGAATATTGACAAAAACCCCCAATTTATTCAGCCATAAAAATAAAGGGGAGAAAGTTATATCAATATGCAAGAAAAGGTATCCCGGTAGAAGCACCACCGCGATTAGTAAAAATAGAGAAAATAAAACTATTAAATTATTTGCCTGGTGAAGAAAAGATAAATTTTTTAGTAGAGTGTAGCAAAGGCACTTATATTCGTAGTTTAGTAAAGGACATCGCCGAAAAAATGGGAACAATAGCCACCGTCAGCCAATTAAGGAGAATTAGTTCGGGAAAATTTCATGTTAATCAAGCCCTAAAATTAGAAGAGGTGGAAAAAGAAAAGATAAATTTATTTTCCTACTAACTTTTTGCTCTTGGGTTTTAGTTCTTTTATCATCTCCCTTAATTCCTCAGCATCTTCTAAATTCCAATTAGCCGTTATGACTAATGATTCAGATTTTAGCCTTAATTTAGTTAACTGATTTAATACAGGTTTGGCCGCACACTCTTTACATTTCCCCTTACCATTTATACATTCAAAACAAAAGACAAAATCATAAGATGTAAACAACTTATCCACTTCACAATTACATAGTTCACACTTTTTTATTTTGCTTTCTTTAATTTTCCTCATAACAAATAAAAATCAATATATTATTATTTTTATTATTATTTTAAGTACAATATCTCCTTAAAATAGTTTATATCTTTATAATAATCTTATGAATAAAATTGAATTGACCGAAGAGCAAAAAAAATGCGTGGAGCATCCCTTAAACGGGCAAGTTTTGCTGATCGACGCTGACCCGGGTACCGGCAAAACTGAAATCTTACGACACCGAGTTAAATTCATTCATCAGCAAAATAAAAAGGAGAGAAAGTTCATTCTGGTATTAGCGGTGGGAAAAAACATTAGCCGGTCCATCAAAAGAAAATTAAAAGAAGAAGGATTAAAAAAAATCCACCACCGCTTAAAATCAGTTCTGCCAGAATTTTTTCATAAGCCGCAATGCGAGGAGGTTGACGATTGTCTTGAATGCTTGGAAAAAAGAAGCCCCATCATTCTCACTTGCACGGTTCACTCAATTGCTTATTGAATAGTTAAACAAGTATTTACCAAACACTTGCAGGAAAAAAAGAAAATTCAAATCCTTACTAGTGCTTATAAGAAAGAACTAAGCATGCTTTATATTCGGGAAGACTTTCCAAAAATTAAAGAAAAAATTCACTGAACTACCCAAGAAATCATTACCCGTAAACGAAAGACGTTTAATTACCTAATTAACCAAATTAGTAGTAAAAAGTTAAACAAAGAAGAAAAAAGAGATTTATGGACTATTTTTCGTGAAGAAATTAAGATAGAACACGAGAACGAACCTTATCATCATTGAAGCATTACTAATTATTCACAATTTTTAGACCGCATGAAAAATCTTTGGGAAGGAAGCGAATTAACTTTTTATCAAGAACTAGTGGCTATTTGTCAGGAAAATCAAAATAAAAATATCTGATTGAGTTTCAACGACATTATTGAAAATGTTCTGCTTTTTGCTAAAAAATCTAACCAGCAAATTAATTGACCGAGTTTTGATTATGTCTTAGTAGACGAGTGCCAAGACTTACAACTCAAACTGTTAATCTTAATTACTCAAATATTTGGTCATCAGGAAACTAATTTTACTTTTGTGGGGGACCCTAAACAAAACATTATGGCTTTTGCGGGGGCTACCGAAGATATTTTTCAATTATTGAAAGAACAATTTGCTGATTGTGCTCAGATGGAAATATCGATTAGTTTTCGAGTGCCTGAGGAAATTGCGGCGGTGGCAAATGATTTCACTCGCAAGTTTATGCCTCACAAACCAAAATTAACTACTAATCAAAAAAACGGCGGGAAAAAACCAGTGATTTTTCTGGCCAGCACTAAAAAAAATTATCGATTAACTCTCGAGGAAGAAAGAAATATAAAAGAAAAAGCCTGTCAAATTAACGAAGAAGAAAATCAAACTGAGGAGAAAAAAACCAAAAAACTCCCTAAATTAGAGAAAAAATTAATGACCGAGAAAATTAAATCCAAAAAACTGGAAAACCAAATTAAATTTATCTTGGAAAAAATTAGTGAGTTAGACAAGTCCGCTTCCCGCGTCATCCTTTATCGCAAAAATGAAATTGGTAATTGATTAAAAAACTGGTTCATTGAAACTAATTATTATGACTTTGTCATGGTTGGGGATAATCAAAATAAAGTAATTAGTTATATCGTCAATAAAATCCAAAAAGAACTCAAAGATAAACCACTTTTGCTAAGTAAATTTCATTCTGTCGAGGACTTTTTAAGTGGAATAGGGATAAATTGACGAAATATTCCCCGCTTTCAGCAAATAATTGAAAAGTTTGACCAAGAAAGGATTTTAGATGAAGAAAGATTTGAAGAAAGTTTATCCGAAGAAGAAGTTAACGAATTTATTCGACAAATTGATAAACAGTTAACTGAAAAAGATATTGAAAA